CAAATTTTAATAGCTATAAGTGACAATAAATATACATAAACATGAATTAAATGAAAGTTCAAACTAAAATTTATTGTAAAACTTTTTTTTGCCTATGTGGACACCTTAGATGGAGAGAAAATTTTTCTATTGTATATACTAGGGTTTGCCCACGCTATGCGTGTGTTTAAAATTTAACATCGTACAATATACAATAATTTCTACCTTATTGATTATTTGTATATTTAATATTACAGAAATTTGGTGTTTATAGACTAACCACTTGTAAAAAATTATTTGGCATATACAATTTCTAATGTATATAAAAAAAAGACCGTTTACTAATAAAAATTGAATATCAACTGACTAGACTTATATGAGTTGGTATACATTATTTGAGTTGATCGCTATACACATTGTTGAAAAAATCTTACTATTATATGTTTTCATATTTTTTATATTCATATTAAACTATGAATTTAGTATCATATTAAAATGTATTTATAAGATATATGAATCATAAAATTAAATTTTAATTATAATAACTTCATATTTTTATTTTGTTACAAGAATTTAATACTTTTTAATAGTGAGGTTTGATTGTTCATAAATTGTAAATTATCATTATTTTGTCAATTTTTTTGTCATGTAATTAGTGTAAGAAATTGATTATGAGTCAATTTGGTCTTTTAAATCTAAAATTTGTGTTTTTAAGGCTATTATTTTTTGTATATAGGGTTTTATAATATATCCTTTCACTTTTTATGAAAAATTAATTGAACTCGATATTTGTAGATATATGATTAAGACTAAATCATATATTTAAAATCAAATTAATTTTATCTTTTAATTGTTTCGTTATTTTCATTTTTTGAGTTTTAGCTTAGTTAAGATAAATAACTATAAATAAATTATAAAACATTTCTCAAAACATCAGTTTAAGATTTTTGTTGGAAACATATATCACAAGTCAATAAAATGTAATTATGGACGTTTACAAATTTTTTCAATAATATTTTATGTATTAGTTAAAAATATAGAATTGATAAATAATAGTTTTATTGAACCAGTTAAAATAAATAAAGATGGAAAAATATTTTTGAAAAATGAAAGAAACAAAAACAAATATCAATTAGATGTATATAATCAATTTGTTATATGTTTTTTTATTTTTAAAAAAAAATTTAAAGCAAAACAAAATTAATTAGTGTCATTTATTAATGAAAAAAATGACGCATGTCAAAAAGTTATGAGACACGTGGCAGTTTCTCATAACTTTGGCTTAGAAAAATCTTACAATATTATATTAGATGTGTGTAATGCTGTTGAAAAAAAAAAA